AAATATTCCAATTTACGACAATTCAGTAAAATAGAATTTTTACAAAATTTTAAGATATATTTTTATTTCAGAAAATTGTAATTATTTTAGTTTATATGAGTTCGCTCATGTAAAATAATTGTTAATTATTATCACACAAAATTTATTTGTATAATTTTACAATTATTGTATAAGAAAATTTAATTTGAACTATTATGAATGTTGGACAACATTAAATAATACCTAAGTTCACCAAATACTGCAGAAGTTCGCACATTTTTTTTTCTGTTAGAAGCTACAGGAAAAAGGCTCGTATTCCGGTATCAAGCTGATAACTCCAATCGGTCGCAGTGATAGCAGAGAGGAATTTCCACGCTCAGTAAATGTACCATAATCGAGCGATGAACACGGCTGTCATATATTTTTTATTCCTAGGCGATGAGAGCCGGGCGAGAGCACACATGGCAATAAATCCCGGTCTGCGCCGCTAATTTTCGCGGAGCCGTTGCATACACGTACCTACGCAAAACGTGCCCACACGATGCCAAGCAGGTGTATCTGCATCGTTATTGCTAGAACGCGGGCGTGGACGAAGATACACGCGCCGGGGTCATGACACGACCTCAAACGAGATCGGCATTATTACTGAACCGGCCTATCGTGTCCTTGTAACTTTTATCGAAGCTACTATGATGACGCGTTTCACGCAAAATTTATTGCCATCGCTAGCGATGGTTGTATCACGACTGTAAACCGCACGGCTGAGCATGAGTGTTCTTTTCAAGTACCTCCTGATGTATTTCGCTGATTAAAACGCGTTAATTTTCTTGCTGCGAGACGCGTTTTTACGATGACGGGCCTCCGTGAAATTATTAACCATTAAATACGTACGCACCGGGACGCCACGTGATCCTCATAAATTCCTCGGCGCCCGTTTCATATTAATACTTATTTCGAGATGCTTATTATTATTCTAAATACGTCGTGTTCAATGCGTTCCTTAAAAGCGTTTCAGAACAGACACGAAATAATTACAATATCAAACTGAATCGAGAACGCGAATAAAAAGACAACGAGAACACATTACGGCAAGAATGATGTTATGAGTTGCAATTTGAGAAAGTTAAAAGTTATTACTCTCAAAAACATATATATTCGTACAAAAATAATTTCGCGCAGTTGTAAAGGGATAAAGAACTTATTTCATCTCAAGAATTAAATACACCGTCAATGTATTGCGCAATAATAATACAAATGCTGCGACGATTATTATCATTTTTTGAATTTGTGAATTTTAATTAATGTGATCCATACTACGAAAATTCCATTAAGTTACGATTTATGCTTAATTACCTGCGAATTTCCGACTACACAAATATTTCTTTAGTTATATCTGCTATATCTACCATCATAAACCAAAGACAACAATATTTTCGTTATTTCGAAAATCTACGGCGAGCATCCTTTTCAAAAGCGACTGCGGAGAGAATCCCTTTACCAAGTTCGCCCGCGGAGAATTTCTTCGTGAGCTGCATTTACAAAGAGTCCAACTACGAGGTACATTAGTCGAGATTATATCCGGCAAAGGAAGTCGACCAACTTCCGAAGACACTGTTGCAACTAAATCTCCTCGAATCTGGCGACGTCCAAAGACATCGAACTTCTGCAGAGTCAGCAACAAATACACCAAATACAACATACTGGATCGTAAAGCGAAAAGTATGCACCGTCGAATGTTTTATTGCGAATGAGATATAGGTATGTCTTATAGATATGTATCTCGTATAAATAGAACGAAAACAACCGAATTCTATCTCTTCAGCTGGCGCCAAAATTCTTTTTAAGAAAATACAAAAAGTTTTTACATGGACAATCTGTGACGTATTTCATCATGCGAGCTTTCAACATAAATTTATTTTAGACGCGAGATTTATTTACCTGCACATAATATCGTATTATAAGTAATTAATTGGACGACATAGAAAAATGACACAGGGCAGAGAACGTCCCGGTAATGGATTTAGAGCAAACAGGGGCGTTCCGCTTTACCATTATATTATACTTACTTAAGTATGTAAATGTTTCACAAGCAACAATAACCTGAGAAATATTAACAACTGCAGAAACAAAATATGTTATTATCGAATTATATGTTATTAGATATATAATTATCACTAAAATACGTATAGAAATAAATATAATCAAAATTTTTATAATTAACAATATACACTAAAAAAAAATTGAATTAAATATATCATAATCAGACTGTTTGATAAAATATGAACGATTTATGATTTTGATTAAAATAATCACATAAAGATTGCATATATTTTGATTATGGTAATCAAAATATATTTGAAAACATATTTGATTATATGAAAATAACAAAATATGGGTAAATAAAAATTTTGTTTAATTCTATAATGCTTTTTTAATTATATTGTCACGTTAATCCAATCTTGCCCTTTTTCCCTGATAGTAAAATAATAATCAAATATCAGATTGGATATTATTATTATTATATTAACCAAAATCTAATCGGTATCATATCTAAATGTTTTGTTTGGATACTTTTTTGGAAAATATTTGATTATAATAATCAGAAATTGTTTACTTCTATCATAATTTGATTAACCGAACATATCTTGTTAAGTCAACCATAATTGTTTTTTTTTCATGCACAGATATAAATCTCATTAATATTTTATCGCTGTTTTTTTAAAAATTTGATATGAATATCTTAACGTTCTTTCAATCAGTAATTTAATTGGACAAAGAATTTCGAAGTTCTTAACGTTCGCCAGTTCACAATAACATGCGGATTTCCGGCAAGGTCTGCGATCCGAGAAATCGGAGCTGATTACGCGTTTCAGATAGATCGAGAAAACTCGTCCGGTTATCCCCTTTGCGGCTCCATTTCGAGACGCATTCAAGCGACGTAATGAGTTACGGCGTCACGTTGGATTTGCAAGTGAGACGAGTCAACCAGTTGCTCAGTTTGGATTGTCTTTGCCTTTGGGAGACGGGTTACACAATACCGCTTTCGATTTATCGTTCGATTTATTAGTTTCTCCTGTCTCGCTAATTACTTTCTCATTGCACGAATTCTGGCACTGCAAAGCCAAACGACTTTCGCGCAGTACCGCCCGTACGTACGTACGAGTTTCATCGGATCTGCAAGTGAAAAGAGTCCAACCAGTTGCTCTGTTTGCTTTGTTCACATAACTGCACTCGTCGAATTCGAGTCCGTTGTTTGATTTGCTACACTCTCTTTGATTGATCAATACTCATATCGTACACAATTGTCAATAAAATCGTATATGTATAAACGCAAATTATAAAAAGCTATGCAAGAGAAATTGTACGTACAAAAAGAAATTATATTATTAATATTTATTATTGATACATAAATCAATGCAAGTCGATGGAAACGATGTTAATGTGTGACGATCACTATTTCATTATTAGTTTATTAAGACGCTAATTTATTATATTTTTATTCTGTCTCATTTTGTTTTCACAGAAAAGTTCTATTTTATTTCTCAAATAGATTTTTAAGATACAATACTTAACATTCATAATTTATACGATAAAACCCGTTTATTGCACCATGCTGCGTATCTTATCTTCTTAATTATTTTCATATTGTGAACAGGAACGAGAAAAGTGAAATATTTTATATTATAGACTCACAAGATTAATACAAAAGAAAAAGCAGCAGGATATGTCAGCGGATATCTGTCATACGATCGACATAGCAGCTGCATCGGTATCCTTTTAGACACTACTAACATTTTATAATTATTTAACGTAGGCTTGTATGCCAAAGTGGAAGATGACGAGGAGATCGCGATTGCAAGTGTTATATGTTTATGTCATCCTGCGGAATCGACTGAAAGATGCAAACCATTATCTCTTAATATAGCATCGACGAATAAATCGTAAATTTGTGAATCGTACGATAAAATTTATTTTTTATAGGATCCGTAACAGAATATAATGACCGTCGATGAGATGTCGTTTCGTGCAATGCGAATCCGAGTTGAAAACCGTGTAAATAATTTGAGAGTATATATACGCATTGTATATCTTCAATACTTGTATTTTTATATCTTTTTCAAGTTAATCGATATTAATTAATCACGTACTTGTTGGTCAGGAATGCGTGAGTAAATGTCATTTCCAAGAAACGATACCGAGTTCTGATGCGAAGACATAAATCGAGAAAAAAAATGAGAGACAGAAATCATGATTTACTGAGTATTTTCAAGGTAATAGATCGAATGTTACTTAAGAACATCATAATCGTGAAGGATAATCCGGTCGAAGGACATACGAGCAAACCTCAGTCGATATCTGTTCGTCTAGAATATCGTTTACAACACTTGATCGCGCTTATCGATCCTCACCGTACGTTACCGATCGCTTTTGCTCTGTTATTCGCTTATAACGTCGTAAATATCCTATTTACGGCTAGATCAGACCGGTTTGTCGACGATAATCATTAATGAGTCGCAACGTGTTTCCCAGCATTGCACAAACCCGTCTATAATTTCTGAGATTATTGGATTTGTGAATCCCGCTTTATATCATGATTTTTTTACGTTATTCGTAAAAATGAATATTTAATCAAGTCCATACATATTCGAAGTAAAATATATAATTTGAATATTTGCACGTCTCACTTAGACACCTAAGCATTACAGTGCACCAAAAAAAACTGGCAGAAGAAAAAAAAATCCGAGTTAATTTTAAAACAATGCTACAAATCGTGTAAAACCGTGTGTTCTACGAAAATAAGCAACGAGCTTAAACTAATATCTCCAAGTGACTATGAGTACGGTATCAGTTAATCGCCGATCAATCTCACTTCTTTCCTGAGCGAGCAGTATACCGCTATGCGGCACACGAGAAGCGGTATCTCGTTGGAACGTGAGAAGTGCAGGATGCAAAATAAAGAATAAAATATACGTGCGTGCGTGCGTGCTTACGTGCGTGAGATGTTATATATGGATATTTACCGGTAAGGTTATCACCGCGTTGTTGCGGCCATCGGAAAGAAGGCCTGGGCTGCTGCTTGCTGCGCATATCTCCCGTCCGGTGCGGCGGCTCCGAGCCGCTCGCTTTTCAAACGATCGGAGACCACTACTTACCTGAAAGAGAACAAGATAGAACAGTCAAAATCTAATATCTTTAAGTTCTTTTTTTAATGAGATTACAATGTCTCGATGATCAGATTCTGGCGACAAAGATAGGCATCAATTTTTTTATTTACGACCAAACATTAACGTAAAATGTCATTTGCATTTTTAAATATTTTTTCAACTTTCTTTTGTAAAGATACAATGTAAAACTAGAAAAAAAGAGAAACAGATACCATATAAGGGCAAAGATCAAAACAATACAAAACCTTAGGTTAGGTCAGAAGCTATAAGTCAATCATCTCTTCAGTGTTACCCGAGATGTATTCTTGCTTACTAAAATACGTAGTCAAAATCGGGTTTACATAGTTCAAAACAATACACAAAATCAATAAATCTTGTGTATTCAATACTGCTGTACCTGATTTCACTATTGATCGTAAAAATATTATTTTCTGTCAACTTATGTCAGTTTGAAATATAGTCAATAAATTTATCCCATGTCGCAGTTTAGCTCATATATTTTCTTAATATGTTCAATATATATTACATTATCGTCACATATATATTATAATTTTTATATATTAATGTATTGAAATAAATTTGAAATTATAAGCTTCACATTGAAATTTTTCAAATTCAATTTTTCCAGCGCTTGTATTATTATTAACAAACTATTGATACTCTAGTATTAATATAACCACCATTCTTCATAGTTTAACTTCTAGTATACATAACGCGGAAAAAAGCATGCAACTTTTAAGACAGCTGATATTGAATGGGTGATATATCGCCCGGCAAACGTTAATAGCTTCTAAGAAAATCCACGCTTTTTCACGGTGAGTTTCCCAATCGACGCTCTTGTGATTCTTCGGGAGGTGGAGAGCCACCCTACTCGACGGGTTTTTACGAAGGGTGCCAAAACCTAGGATCGTGTCCCACGTTGCAGTTCACCCTCTCCCCCTCCCCCCATCCCCCTTCCCTCACGTCCCTTAACCATCCAGTACCGACCATCGTAACCAGCCGTATATCTTTCCGGCGTACGCCCTCGAAAGCGGCCGCCTTTGTTTCAGATATTTATGAGGCGTTTTAATTCGCACACCGCGTCACCCAGCCGACTGGGGGGTTGCCGAACGGGGACCAGAGAAAGAGGGAGCGGGGAAGGAGGAGGTGAGCGCGGGGTTTCTGCACGGCGTGACGGAGCGAGGCGCGAAGGCATAATAGGCATAAGGGTGCCCCGATAAAACGCCAACTCCCCGTTCCCCGTCTCCCTCTTCCACCTTCCCTTTTCCAGACGTAGGCCATAAGCGCAAACAAACTCTCGCTCGTATATCTCGCCTCAATGGTTTCTACGTCGGTGCGCCAGGGGCGTACTGTATCGTGCTGCTGTCGCCCTGCTTCACTTTTCTACCCTTTCCTCTTATCCTTCCTCCTGTCTCACACCTCCATTCTTCTCCTCCATCTGAAAACTCTTGCCATCCTCTATACCTATTTTCGACCCTTCATGCGAGCCAAGAAAATTTCTTAACCCATATTCAAGCAATATATCGCTCCACCGGTATGTACCGATTTACTGTAATATTCTTTGAACGATGAGCTGTGAATAGAGCTACTTGCCCTTTGGATTATTCACTCGTTATGTAATCCGAACAAGCAAATTTCCTACTTTGTTTTCAACGATGTTCACGATTTTCCAATTTGATGATTATTTGATTGATCTTGACATTTTAAAGAAGTAGTATTTTCACACAATTGCCATAGCAATTTCTTCGGTATACAAAAATAGCCTTTGTTGATTACAATTAGATATGCTGTTTTCTATAAATATATCTTCTTTCAAAATAAGTCTTAAATAGGGCTTCGTTTATAAATTTCGATAGATATCAAGAAAACACAACAGTTATTATTGTAATTTATAAATTAAGAGTAAATGTATAAATTCCAAAAATATAAAGATTTTTATTTCGAAAATAGATATAGAATGGACATAACATTCCTTAGATGACGATAATAATTTTATAGCTACATCTATTAGATGAATAACATTAAGAAATTTATATTCCTCTCTACTTTCTCCTTTCACAATAATATACCTCTCTTATCAATTTTTGGAAGTGCTTAGCAAAAAAACAGAATCGACTTAAACTGAATTGGATATTTTGCCGACTCCGTCATATATTTCGAGATAGGACGGCGCCTTAGATCGGTGAAGCATTTTAACATTTTTCTCCATCACACCAGAGCGATCAATTCAAAATACAATCGCCAGTACGATCGCATTAATGACTCTCAACTAAGTGCACGTTTTTAGGAACACTACATTCGTCTCCCTGATCCACGATCCAAGCCTGCTACGTCCCTTTACAACACACCGACGTCTCCGTCCACCTTCCATGGTTTTCTACCAGCAACCACTTCTGCCTCATCCCCCTCAGCCCCTTCGTGCCACGACACGCTGGAGAGGCAGCCGCACTCCTGCTCATGCTCTTCTTTACGTGCAGGCGAGTTTAACAGTAACAGTACGTCACCCTGTCACTCTTTCTCTTTCTCTTCCTCCCTCAATCTCACTCTCGCCCTCTCTTTCTTTTCTCCTCATGACGTCTCACCCTATCTCCTTTCTTCGACCGTTCTCTCTCTCTCTCTCTCTCTCTCTCTCTCTCTCTCTCTCTCTCTCTCTCTCCTTAACAGCCTTCACTCTCTAAAAGCCTGGGTGTGATCTATGGCGGGACGTTGCGTCACTCGGGGAACAGATGCAGAGCTCGTATATTACTCGGCCATATCTACGAGCAAGACGGCGAAGAAGGGAAGGGGCGAGCGGGGAAAGGGAGATGTAAAGAGGGCGAACCTTGCCGTACGGTCAAAAGAATGGCGAATGTCACAAATCACTCGGCTTTTGTGTGACACCCAACCCTCGCTCGAATTTTTTTCTCTCCAGGGTAAAGAAAATTTACTTGTTGACGAAGAGATTCCTGCTAAACGTCAGCGTGCCAGTGTGCGCGAGGGGATTGTTTTAAAAATTGAATTTTTCGTCGCCGTGAAATTTCGCCTTGTTCGATGAATGGACGTCATCAAAGGCGAAAGAACAAGTTTAATCTCTTGGGATGAAAAGTCCATTCCGACCTGACGTCGCTTTAATTGTGTCAAAACTAACATCGAGTAGATCGAAGTTTGCGCTCTGCGAAGACGCGAATGTTTTTACGAATATGAAATGGATTACGTGCGCCGTCTCGTCAAACGTCGAACAATGACTGTCGCGCATTTTCCAAAGTTTGCAAATTGCATTACGGTAATACTGCAGCAGTATTTAAAACATCATACGATTATCATCCCGCGATTTCGCCAGTATCAATACGACGAATTTTCCAACTTCGAATTGTAGACAAAAGAATAAACAAACGAGAGTGAAGAAGACGGCGCCATAGTTTCCGGCTGAAAGGCAATGATGTGCGCTTGGTATGTGTTTTGACTAACGCAACTTGATAAGACGCCAAGGCAACCATATCTGGTACGTGCAATCGAGAGCCTGTCACTCGACTAATTAGGACGACGTCCTCGATACATATCGCAAGACACGAATATGAAATAAGTCTTCGCTTTTCATGAAACGCGCAGACAAAGAGTCGGAAATGAACGAAACGCAATGGGAATTTCACTTGCTCCGCTCCACGTGCGAGCGTCTCCATGTACATGCGCCCGTGGAAACACTAGCCAGCTGTCTACGTTACGAGGGCAGAAGGGGAAGAAGGATCGAGGGCGAGAGAGACGAGGGAGGCGAGAGAGAGAGAAAGAGAGAGAGAGGGAGGGAGGGAGGGAGGGAGAGAGACACACACACACACAGAGAGAGAGAGAGAGAGAGAGAGAGAGAGAGAGAGAGAGAGAGAGAGAGAGACCGAATACGCGCGTTGGTGGAATAGACGCTTCCAGAATCTCATAAATCAGGTCAGGGTTGGCGACGGGGGCGGTGGTTGCAGCGAGGAGGAAGCGAGGTGGCTACGATGCGGGAGGGTTGTTAGGTAAAGGTCGACGCACAACAGAGTCCCATGCCGACTTGCGCGCGCACGCTCGTAAAATGCTTGGCGCCAATTCCATTCAACGGTATGGATTCGTATGACAGAGGGACATATCTCGAGTGGATCTTCTCGAAAGCGCCGACTCCGATGTCACGGCGTCTAACGTGGAAGAATAATTCATCGCGAACGTATATGCAGGTCGCGTGAATTAGGTATGTGCTTGTTCAAAGTGGCTGCAAACCGGCATGGTTTATTACAAATAGATATTATTGCAAGCCGATAAATCGCGGCGTAAGATGGCGTAAAGCTATTTGTACGAAAGTATATCGGAAATTGGCAAGCGCAGAAATTGGCGAAAGCGCAGAGAATAATCTACGATTATGCCATGGCCTATCGACTATCGATGCCACGAAGAGTATTTTATTACAGACCCGATGACGATAAATTGAAGGTTGACTTGTGAATCATTTAATAAAAGATCGCGATTTATCGAGAATATTAGCGTCGTGTCTTGCAGTATATCCAGGAATACCTCGTCGCATTACTTATTATCGTCACATCTGCGTAATATTCGCGAGCCGCGGCAACGTAAGGCAGCCTGAAAGCGTAAAAAGAACTCATATACACACGACGATCGATACATGAGACTCGACGAAGCGACGTAGGAGGGGCAGAGGGAAAACAGCGACGTCGGAGGTGATTCGGAGGGACCCCAGATGGAATCAGTGCAGTTTGGAATATTGGAAAACGTCGGTCCGCGCGAGAAGCTGAAGAAGAGAAAGACCGGAAGACGGGCGGAGTGCGAGTAGAGCACTATTTATGACGCGTACGTGAATTCTGAGAACATTGGGGATACGTCGCGCCGTGTTCGCGTCACACCATCGTCGTAGAAAAAGAACAACGAACGTTCCAAGAGGGACGTGAACAACTGGTCCGAGATTCTACATAGAGCTTGTGCTAGGCGCCACGCCGGCCGAACGTGAATTCAGAATTTCGC